AAGTCTAGGTCAACTCGACCTAGACGAACGAAAGAAATGATGATGAAGGTGGTAAAAAAACGAATAGAGTTAGGGAGGAGTTGGTTCAAAGCTAGGCCGAACGTCCTGCACATATCAACCAATGCAGGAAAAAAAGCAAAGTGAATACCTATGTCGAACCAAATCTAGAAGAAGGTGTAGTAATCCCTAGGGGGTTGGTTGTACGTATCATTTTTGCCCGAGCGATAAACAGCCCTAGGGTGACAGACCTTATCAAGGTTTATCCAATTAATGCGAAGGGAGCGAGACTGGGATTTTTGGTGCGACGATGAGGATTAGGATGGCTGGTCGAAGTCTTGGCTTTTGTGGCCGGGGAAGATGAATGACTGGTCGATGAAAGTGACATGAGAAGTTGAAGAGTAGGATTAGGGCGACGAGAGTGATGAATTAGGGGAATGTGGTCGAGGCTATCCTCGTCTGGCTCATCGGCCATATGGAGTGGTTGGCGAAGAGGAGAATGGGCATGATGGGTTTGAATTGGAATCACATGTCGAATAATGGATAGTGGAGTGGCCTCAAGAACCGCCTCAACAGAAGTGTCGGGAGAATGAGAAATAGGTGGAGTGGTCGAAAAAGATGGAAAAGACATGTCTTTGCCATAATAACGGTTCTTTTCGCTCGAGCTGGCGGAATCTGAAAAAAAAAAAAGAAAATGTCAAAAGAAGAAAACTTTAGGGTTTTGAGTGGAGAGAAAAAGAAAGAGATTGAAAAAGTTTGCGGTGGCGAGTTGGATAGAAAATTCAAAGAGGAGTTGCAAACCAGAAAATTCCAAAAATTCAAATGAAGAACATAAATTGAGGGGGTTAGAAAACTTATTCATTGTCGTAGATGGGAGAAGTCGCTGGAAAAGGCTGAGTTGCAAAAAATCCGATTGCAGGGAGCGGGGTGGCAACAGAAAATTAGGGCAAGTATATCGAGATTTTGCGAAGGTAAAAAGTTGGCAAAGGCTTTAGTTAGTGATATTTATTGTTGGATAAGAAGTCAAGTGAAAAAGCGAATTGAGGGATAACCGTTAAATCAACACAAAATCAAGGGTCAAGATTCAACAAGCTAGTTGAACGGTTTGAGGAGATTAACCGTAGGATTAAGAGCGAAACCAAATGACTATCTTGAAAAGGTGCGTTTAATGGGTGTCAAGAACGAGGAGATGCGAATCACGGGGTAATGATTGACGCGTTTGACATATGTGACAATGGGAAGTTTGAATTTTAAAATTCAAAAGGGTGGTCGATGGTCGAAAATAGAGGAACATCTATTAAGTGGTTGACATGAAACAAACACAAGGACAATTGGTGGGTGAACGAAAATCTATTCTTGGATCGAGTCATTCATACTCGACCAGAGTGGGGGGACTAGATGATATGAGATACTATATCTAAAGGAGTGAACCGGTCTAGTAAGCTGGTCGGATAAACTGAATCAGCCGCCCTGGTCGAACAGAGCACGAGTAGGGTGGCCGAGATTGAACATCACAGGAACAAAATCCTCTGGAGTGGAGAGATAACTTAAGCGGGATTCCGACATTTGGAGAGTAGGTCGATTCAGACCCATGGAGGGTCTGGTCAAAGACCGACCTGCGACAAAAACAGTCGTATGATCAACCATTTACCAGTCTCAAAACAGTTAACAAGTCGACCTAGATTTGGTCAAGCATTAAAGCATTTGAAGAGATCTCAGAGGAATCAAATCCTCATGTGCGCAAGGAACATGGGGCAACCTGATGGGTCCATATAAAATAATTGACTCTGACACATCTCCAGTATGTGTTATACGACCGGGCAGGCTGGGCAACCTCAGCTCATTCGGACAGTCTTCTAGAAACAGGTATATATTAGGGTGAGCTTTACAATTTTAGCACGATTTGATCCACTATACACTTGAGACTTGAGTAAAACTCATATTGACTTAAGCATCGGAGACTCTTTGCAGGTACTCGGCGAGAAAGACAATGGCGAGCCAATTTCTAACCGATCAGAGTATTTGACGTACCAGATAGTTTTTTTTCCTACTCTTTGCCTTTTGAGCTACGTTGTACTTAATTTCTTAGTGAACATATACTGCAAGAAAAAGGTTACTGATTATAATTATCGTTTACTTAGCATATTTCACAATATTTTGCCAAAATAAAATAATTTTCAACAAACAAATTTAACCTAAAAATTGAAAGTTTGCATCATCACTTTCAACTTTAGTACATTTGCTACATTGCATTACTTAAATTTACTTCTCTTGTTTGATTAAAATAAATAAATAAATAAGGATACATAAAATAAATAAACCATATAAAATATAAAAATGCCATTCAAAAAGTAACAAAATATGAATTATATATCATGTGCATCATATGTACACTTTACTAGCACAAGATTAGAAAGAAAATAAAGAGAGATTATTTTAGACCATAATACATAGATATAATTTTGCTATGACCTATTGGATTACACGTCTTATGCACCATCTATAATTATTCACGAATAGTGTGTTGACACATGTGTTAAAATAAATATATTTAAGACAATTGTTAATATATCAGTGCATGGATGATTTACATAAATTTAATACATGATATTAGGATAGTTGGCGAATTGCTATTTACCGTTTTATCAAACTTCAAAGTAGGGGTATGCAAAAATCGAGTTGAATCGTACAATTTGTACGATTCGATTCTGTTCGATTTTTTAATGCGAAAATTTTTGGTTAGGTTTTGATTTTTTTTTTTTTTTTGGTGCACTACAGTGTGATCTATTATCCTTTATCATTTTCGGTTTTGTTTGACTCGGCGCGGTTTTATACCAAATCACGCCAAGATTAATATAAATGTATAGAAAAGTTGTGGCAAAATCAAAATTCTAGCCAAATCTCACATTGTTTTAATTTATTTATTTATTGATTATCATTATTATTATTATTATTATTTTCTAGATTTATTTTTTTGGATTTTTGGTGCAGTTTTTCACTGAATTGCACCGTTGGACATCCATAGTTGCCAATTATTCAAATTTTCATCCACACTATTTTCCACCATACAACACCCTTGCATCATAACATGTTATTATCAATAGTCCGAGTTCTGAATAATTAGGCAGCAGTTGGCCGCTGCAAAAAAAAAAAAA